AGGAATAGTTCCGAAAGATTAGGTCAATGTAGAAGTTTTTATTAGAACATAGTTAGTACTAACTATGATTAGAACGAGAGCTTGTAGTGTTCACAGWTAATCATCMTCCTTTCCAGCCAGGAACAGTGGTAAACACTAGACACTCGAACTCGCTCAAGACGTTTTGATGTGTTACTACTGAAATGTTTTTCACCCTCACTCTTGTCATCTTAAGAATAACTAATTTTCAAAAGCCTTGTTCATGCAAAGCATGCAAAGCATTGTGTTATCAGTCACATGATCATCATGCTAGACATGTGACCTTGTCATATGGGATCTGTGGCAATTCAGCACACGTGATAATGTGAGAATTTTTGATTGGTCGACTTACCTGCCAACTGATTAGCTGCCGTTTCATTCCATTGTCCGTCGTAACAACTCCTACTGAGACTTTAGTTTTATTTTTAAGTAACGTTTGTCATACCTGTCATGTCCGTGTGCTGTTCAGTCCACTATTACGTCATGTCAGGTGACTGTCCACTGTTCCATTCGCTTAGAGTACTGTCTATTTTCCAGATTTAGCAGACGCCAATCTCCACTTAACCGTTATGTTTACAGCGCTATCCCGTTGACTATACGGGACGGTCAGTAATCCCAGTACGTCTACGGGAATATCCAATATCCCGTTGGAAGTAAGTTGATGTAAATTATCCTGTACTTATTCCGTTAAGTGTGAGGAATTGTTCGTTGTCCTATTATTTCTAAAAGTCGGTCTACGATTCCGTAGAAACTATCGAATCAGTTCTCCGGGATTACCTAAGTTACAGAATCATCCTCCGTTACGAGTAGGACACAATCCGTTAGTTCAATCCACTTCAATCCACTATTCCGTTCAGACCAGGAGAATCAATATATGTTGTGACTTAAGCTTCAGGACCGTTCGTCGTCCCCGTTCAAGTCTTTGGTTCTGTATTTTATCCCGCTTAACTGGCTGTTGGACTACAGTCGGGATTGTCTACTACTCCAGTACGAGTTGCCAACAGTGTCCTGTTAAGTCTACACTCGTAGACATCACTGTCCATTTGTTGTCAAAATAAGGTTAAGGAGAGGGGAGGGGTAGTATAACTCCTGATCCATATTGAGTTTGATTAATAAGACATAGTATATCCATCYATGTAAGCCAAATTACTCTATTTATATCAAATACAATCATGTTCATGGATGGATTTCTCTGGCATGTCTTATCTAATCAAACATTTAAAAAGTATTTAATAGGGATAATCTTAATATTGTGAGGGCTTACCAGTGCAGTATGTCCCGTTTCCTGTATATCCCACGTTACACTTGCAGTAGAAGGATCCTTTGGTGTTMGTACAGTGTCCAAAATGGTGACAGTTGTGAGCGTAATGTTTATGGATCGTCGCCAGTTCGTTGGTTTTACATTCATTGATATCTGTTATACAGATGTATTGCCATTATAATTCAAACAAAATATTGATTGATCTGAAAGAGTAATCTTAGCTTACCTACACACGTGACTCCATTTCCTGAATATCCCGTATGACAGGTACAGATGAACGATCCCTTGGTGTTGGTACAGTTAGCATCGGCGTGGCAGTTATGTGTTCCTTTGGTACACTCGTTAATATCTGTTAAATTTAATGGAGTAAATGGATTCGTTGATTCATGATTTTTGCATATATTTTACAAAAATCTATAGATTACATCAGTGAATACATGATAAAGTTGCTCCTCCTAATTTTTAATCTATCATTTAATAACTGCGTTTTTCTATTCACTCCATATGCTAAATCACTTTATCAATTCATGGATTTTTCCGTTCTTTTCATCCACTCATTCTTTTATTCACTCAACTKTTTATTGATTTTTTCATTTGTTTATTCAACATCGATTCTTAATTGCCTGATAAACAATATGATTTTGAACCAAATAGAAATATATACCGTCACAGAACACGCCGTTTCCTGCATATCCATTGTTGCATCGACACTTGAACGAGCCATCGGTATTGATACACGTAGCATCTGCGTGGCAGTTATGAGCATTTACATCACACTCGTTGATATCTTAGAAAAACAAACGACCTGTTAGTTATAGAAACTTATTACTTTGCTTATTTCTTGGTCACTTCAGTTTTTGTTTCTTCCTTTGTTTGCATGCTGTCCTTCAATCTGCSCGGTTTTTGAGTTGGTACTTTGGCAATTGTTTGGTTGATTTTTACTTGGTGATTAGCCTTTGATTTTAGTAGTTTGAAATTGAAATAATATGGAAAGTTATAGTGCTTAAAAGGAGATTATTCCGGCCGAAAGYCCCTTTGAAATAAATCGGGTAAAATTAATTTCCGCCGAACCTCGCTGGGATTCGAACCCACGACCCTCGGATTTGTATGAGTATTTGAACATGAGTATTTGCCAATATTTGATGTGCAGGACATTCTTGTCGTATCAGTACGTTAATTTAATTCGCATTTTGCAGTTTTTTTCTCCTTGATTTGAACGCTTGCGCGTTTATTAAATGGAGGTTTCCACGTTATAAAATGGTCTACCATTAAGCAGAAATTTGATCACACTTACCAACACAGTTGACACCATCACCAGTGTAGACAGAAATACAGGTGCACACAAAACTGCCATGAGTGTTGGCACATGATGCGTTTTGATGACAGTTYTGCTTCAGCAAAGCTACATTGGTAGTACATTCATTGATATCTATTCAACAGAACAAATATTATTTGGATACTTTGATACAGCAAAATATTACTATTTTAGGGATATTATTTCAACAAGAAAAACAAGGGAAGGCACGATCCAAAAGACTTGATGAATAACAGCAATYAAAGGCATTGTAAAACGAGCTCGACTCCCTTTCCTCACAMAATTTGCATAACACTTCCTTACCTGTACAGTTCAAGCCATCTCCTAAAAAACCTATTTTACATCGGCAGTAGAATTCTTCCCTTGTGTTGATGCAGTTAGCATCCTTGTGACAATTATCCAGACCCATTGTACACTCGTTAAAATCTTGAGAATCAAAATGACAGTTTATTATTTAATCGTAGGAATATATTTAAGGTGAAGTACCCTTACTATAAGTCMAAAACGTACACAATAAACGGTAAATTCAGTGAAAACTAGTTTCGTTCAAAAACCTCTTCAGTTCACTAGTGAAAGGAGTTTATTATTTACTTTATACCTTTTATTATGCTGTAGATTTGCGTCATAGTTGGATTTATGTTGTTTCTGACATTTTTGGTTTTGTTTTTAGTTTCTGCTTTCTCAGTTAATGCAGGCTATACCCCATAATTATAATTACTCATACCTTTATACCAAACACAACTTTTCCCGTCACCAGTGTAGCTAATCTTACAGGTACAAACGTACGATCCGATGGTATTCTTACAAGTTGCGTTCGAATGACATGTACCAGGAATTCGGCACTCATTCAAATCTGGGAACCAAAAATACATGAAATAAATAAACTTTGTAAAAGAGTTCAGTCGATCGTGTCAAAAAGTATCCTTCTTTTTCTTACCTACTGCAGTGAAGTGGGCTTTAAAACCCATAAACTCGTTATCGCTGTCAGTTTTGAATCTAATTCGCATTGGTCCAATAGTTGTCAGTTTCGGTGGAGCAACATTAGCACAAAACTTTCCTTTGAATGGTGAGTTTGCTTCTGTTCCTTGTCGAACCTACGGGAAATCAAATATTTCATTCATAAATTGTATTGGAAAACAAATGCTGCCACAACTTATCATTAATCTGATTAAACTGAAAAATCATAAAGAAATATACGACGAGCTAACAAGTTAAGCTGGYCGTTCAGACAATACGACCACGTTAATTAAGGGAGCTTAAACRCATACAACACAGCCATATGTCCTGTTGAACAATCAGAAGTAGAGCTAGAGGTACCTCAAGATAGTCAAAGTCGCAGTTTTTATGGGTTTCCATTTCAAAAGCTTCAAAGATGAGCGTAACAATAAAACCAGGCCCTTGATTGATTAGCCAGACGCAGTCGTGTTTGGTTGGATACTTCTCCGGGAAATTTGGGGACGTGATGTAGCCACTTGTATCGGTAAAAGTTACAGTACATACACCTGAAAAAACAAGGATAATATGACCATGACTACGAGTACGACTTTATCTGCAACTATGAGATCTAAAATCATGACTGATATAGAGGATATTACATGGTCGCGCGGAAATACGGATTTTATCTTCGAGTGCTGAAAATAAATTTTCAATACGAGAAGATAAAATTCGTATCTGCAAGCGATTATGTAATATTCTGTTTATCATATAATTACATATGAAAGAAAATTATGTCGTAAAATACCTTTTTTCTTACTTCCACTATATAGAGAAACCTCGAATGTGTTATTTTCACTAGMAAATAACAAGTTATTTCCACTYARGAAAATATCAACTTCACGAAATGGAGAAATATAGGTATTTTTATAGGTAATAGCATGTTTTTTAGTGATATTTGGGATACATACCACGCGTGATATTTCAAAATTGTCCAACGAGTGAAATTTGTGACAAATTTTAAAATATCACATGTGGTATTTATCCCAAATTCTACGTACAAAACATGCTATTATTTGTTTATAAAATGGTTGAATAAAATTGTGCAATTTGAAATATATTAAGGATAAATACCACCCCTCTAAGCCAATCAAATTGCACAATTTTATTCAACCATATTATAACATATATACTATATGATAATAATTGTAATTTAGTTTACCCGATGCAGACGCAAAGAATCCTCCTGCAYCTCCGTCACCATCATAATGCATATGTATAAGCATTGAGTTAGTATTTGACCGAATATTCGTACGTTGGTCCATTGGAGGTGTGCCACATAGTTTGGGTCTTAGTAAAGGCGATGTCTTCGAGCTGTTTACATGTATTGAGACATAATCCTTTGAACATCCATCTGATGCTTCCAGCTGCAACATAAAATAAGCCATAAAAAGTTCAGTGGATGAGAACAAATGACAAGGTTAAGGAATATATCAATAATAGCGCGGATTGAATACGAAATGATCACTTCAATGCTTACAGAGAACATGTTAAAATCGACTCGGATAATATTTCCAGGAGAAACTCTCAGTATCCAGTAGCAATCCAGGTTTGGCGGATAATTGGGAGGTGAAATGATAGAAGTGATATCCCATAAAGAAGTGTTCTTTCCACATARCGTCGCCTCACCAACTAAAAAAATGAAAACAAATTAGATTCAGCCCTCCATTTTTTTACAGATGCTTGCAACTTCCGTTGTGGCGCGCGCTTACACGCCGCGTCAAAAGAGCGGGAAAAAATCGGAAGTGACGTCATTGATCCTAAGTGACGTAAATGTTAAAGATATCATCCATTCCAATTWCCACAGCATTTTGTATTGACGTTTTTAGACATAATTACCTGATTTATATTGAAGTATAACAGCGTTTKAACTTTCTTTAATAAAATAAATGTCCACACATCTGAATATCATCAGCCGCAAAAATGTACGTGCAAATTGTCTTCATCAGCAATTTGAATGCTTTCAACATCAAAAACAGTATCCGAAACAGTATCCAATTTATTATAAAACAACAAAGAAACTCCACACATTTATAGTTTAGAAATTCATAGGGAAAATGCGTTTTTCTTTCGTTATTTTTCCTAAGCTTTTCTTGACAAAAGCTCGGGARCATTGTACTAGTACACTAAACACTGCCACTGACTCCAAAACCCATCTATAGTATTAAAGTAAGATTGTCGCTATATGGTCATTTGAAATATCGCCACAAGAACAAAAGAAAAGAAAATCGAAATAAGAACAGCCAGACATTCCTCCTATCTTTAACAACAGTTGAATACTTAAGCCCTCACCTTGGAACTCAAAAGAAGCATAGAACAACGTCAGTAGAGCTATCCGCGCGCCATACATCTTTGTGGTCAGTTGTGAGAGGCCGCTACATTTAGGAAGAATTTTTTAAAGCATCTGGAGAGAATAAACATRGGCAAATAAAACATGTTTTCCTTATGTTCTACAATAATAGAGCATGTCGTTTGTTGTGAAAGCGATTTAGAGGTGAATAACATGAGATTGACATTGAAAATTATGACCTGTACTAATACTTATTTAATACAATTTGTAGCAAAACATAAGTTACTTAAAAGGAACTTGAAACATATATTCATCGCCATTTGTATTCGTATTATATATTGATCATAAGCAAAAACAATCAAACGTTTTGTAKACTAAAAAGTTTTTATCTTAGTTTTCGAACTTTCTCAAACTAATACCCATCAACAAAATACGACAGGTGATAACAGTCTTTAAAGAACTTGCTGTGTATGTGTATGTTTAACTAATACTTGAAAGTTCATCTTTCATAATTAAAATAACACTAACAAACCTTAACAAGAAATTCTCAGTAAACTCTTCAGAAGCACGAAGGCGACGAAGCGCATTTTCTTCCGGCTCTAACTGCACACTATTATAAAATCGGTTACACCTGTTAGTTCGTTTTGTCTTAATTAGTGGCTCTCTTGCTTATTGATTGGCTGATAGGTTTCTCATGATTCTAGTATGTTTTAGGCCACAGGGTATTAATAATTACGAGGTTAGCCAATAGTGTCAAATACGCTGGTGGGAAAGTACTTTGTATGTAACCAAAAATACAAAAAAAGTAAACAAAAATTGTTCAAAACAATAGTATCTTTGATAATTCAAGATCAGTGGGTTTACAAATCAAGCCGGTATAGAAATTGTAGGTTTAGGTTTTGCAGTAATCGTAATTCGATATATGATCAGATGTCTTCATGCTTAATAGGAATTTTCATATAACTAGATTACAGTTTYTTTAAGCTAGCCAATAAACAATGCATAGAATAAAACCATTCAGTCCAAAATAGTTCCTAATAGCTTAAAAACCTTTATCAATGATTGAGAAAATAACCTTAAGTAAATGGTTTTAATACGTACAGTGAGCCATTAATTATTAATATTTTCCCCATTTACACCAAAGATGTGGTCATACTAACATTGATAACAATAATTGAAATTTCATCAAACAAATTTAGAGTTGTTYTGAGCATATGAAAAATTTTAATTAGTGATTTGAAAATAAATGCATTGCATTGTGYTTGCGTCCGAAATTAGAGTAGACTAAGTACAGCAATATCAAAGGTGCTTAATTATTTTTGATTTATTAAAAGTAKGAATAAATTTAATAAATTTAAAGAGTAATAAAGCGTGTCATAAACTCCTTATAAAAGAAACGATTGGTACTTCTTGATAATGCGAGTTAGATCAAATCGCATGATACCTTTGGAGTACCCCCTTCGGGACTGAAAACAGAATAGATAATTTGTAAACAAGAATTAAAAATACAGATAATTTTATTTATAAGAATCCCAATAGAAGAAGAAAACGATGAAAACATATCTCAGAAATGACTTTGTATATTTTTTTTCCTTCTTTGTGGTAATGTTTATGAAAATGTTGCGTTTTTTATTTTTTAATTCATATGCAGAGCACGTGAATTTATACACAATCAAGATCAAACGATCACGTGTAGAGATCAGTTCCAGGATTGCCTCGTTTAGGGCCAGGAAGCCTGAAAAAAAGGTAGGCTGTGAAGTAGAAAATCAGGAAAATCTGTTTTCATGTCGKAARTGTACTCATTTATGCACAGGCAGCCGACACCTTGCATGCTTAATTTTATACTATTGTTTTCTATTTTTTCAATCATATTCTATAATTTCAAAAATATAATAAGGAAAAAATAAAAAAAATCGAAAAAAAACACAAGCGCACGCTTTATTTGATTAATGAGCGCGKGTGCCTCGTGTTTGTGGGTTACCTGTGGTACTACGTCACGTTTCCGTGTCCCAGCATGCTTTGTGGTACAAATTAGCACATATTCAATGAGCATGCTTTTCTCTACGATACATTTCTTTCTGTAGACCAGCATAAAGTAGCCTGTAAGCATGCAATAMCTCGCAGGTACCGATACTGATAAAGGACGTATGCTTGAGATCAGTGATCCGGAAAGCGGGCTGTCCCAGTCAGGGTGACCGGGCTAACTTTTCTTCTGTGTCCCTAARTGAAAAGAAAACAAAATAGACCAGTACATCCGGTCAGTCCGCACCTTTTAATCACACCCTAAGTACACAGACTGCATGGGCTATACACTTTTATAACGTTGGAARCAATCACGACGAACAATATTCTAGGRAAAAACCAAACAACAAACAAACCAAAAAAATAAAATAAAAAACAAACGAAAGTTTTATACTGACTCTTGTGTTAACCGTGATTACATTCAGCTCATSCATYAAGGTAAGCTCGCATCCCTAATCAGCCGAATGACGCAGAAATAATAACAATTTACTAAATACGTGCCCTTTYGTCTAGACGCATAGGAAAACTGAGACCGATTGACGTACTTGTWATGAAAAGACTAAAGGAATGGACAAGATATATACATCGATCAATTTATTTTTAATTACTGAGGTCATCTCCAGCAGGCGTATTCAATTGATCTCCCTGAATACAATACAACTGATATTGTGTCAAGCTGAATACTATTATGTCAGCTTCTTTTGTGGTAACCCGACTTTTGTTCTTAACTACAGTGACAGAATCAACATATCGGAATTAAAGTCGTTATTTTCACATTCCCYTCTTTATTTCATTGAAACACCGTATTCTCTGAGATGTTAATAAGATTTCGCCTTCAAATTCTCCAGCTCTTGTCCCACATGATCGTGATCTTCAATCATGCGTTTTTTCCAGCAACAGTATTTGGCTTAGAGGAGCAAATCGACTCCAAGTCTTCCTATTTTCTGTTGAAACCCTCACATGTAAGAGAAGGCAACGCAAATATCACAACAGATGTTGAAGATGATTTTACTTGTAAACAGCTGTGCCTTCGAGATCCGAAATGCTACACAATTAATTTTGAAAAGTCTCCAAGAAAAGGAACAAAGTTTCATATGTGCCAAATTTTGCAACTTGATGGGATCGGAGAAGAGCTGCCATCGACCTGGCATTTTATTACTCAATGCTTCTTTGCCGTTTATTCGAGATCCGAAATGCTACACAATTAATTTTGAAAAGTCTCCAAGAAAAGGAACAAAGTTTCATATGTGCCAAATTTTGCAACTTGATGGGATCGGAGAAGAGCTGCCATCGCAAGAATTTGACAATTTCACCCCGATGCCGAGAGAAGACGGTGAGGTAGTTTATATTGCTTACGACTAAACGCTGTTTATAAAATCAACTATGAAATACATATATCTCAAACCATCAAACCTACGTAACTGAATTTCTGCTGCTGGTTGAAATAAGGAGCAAGTGTCAGTTTGAATATACAGTTAACGTTGACTACTGACAATGGTGTATTCGAATACCGAAATGCATTGCTGTACGTMCTATCGCCGTTCAAAAGAGTTTTCGTGGTTTCAGAGTGACTAAACCTACTTGCAGAAACGTTATCATAGAAAATAGAACATTTGAATTTAGTAAAAAGGAATAAATTAAAACAAGACAAAAGAAAGCGTTCAGCCTCAGTGATCGTCTTTTGTCTTTTTAATTTATTCCTTTTTACTAAATACAAATGTCCAATTTTCTATATGAAAACGATTTCGCAAGTAGTAGGTGTATACCAGCGCCGTACAAAGATGGAAAGCGATTAAGATTAGAATTGTATGACATTTTTTAAGGAAGCTAATGTGGAATTTAATAGCAAAAATGATGTCTTTTGGCCTTGGAATGCACTATGGTATACAGTATTCAGTATTCAACGTTTTCTGAAACAACGGTATAATCACTTTTCTTCTAGTGTTTTGAACTGTTATGAAACCCGCCCACGATAGATATAAAAAAAGTCAGACTAAAAATATCCACGGCTCGAATGTTCTAACAATAAATATAGAGAAAGTGGCCAAATGAATCACGTTAACCGCTGAAAACGAAAAAGAAGATCCCTTTCTCTTATTTACGTGGATGAAGGATACGTAAATCGGTGRGACAACGTGGCGCGTTACGTGTATTTTATTGCAGCCAGGATCATTGAATCCGCAGTAGTATTCCTATAACAAAAGATGGCCTACTGTAATTTATTTATGTTACTGCAATAGTCTCCACGGATCCCAGCGCCATCTTCACGGATCCCAGCCGTGTCTTCACATCGAAGCGAGACAACCGTTGAGCTTGCAATGATAGATACCTGTGAATAATTGTCTGTAGGTGTGAAAGGTTTCTATGATTGCACGCTAAACAGCCGTCTCGCTTCGATGCAAAGGCACGGCTACCTTTTAAGATGGCGCACGGAATCGTGAAGGAGACTATCCACCCTCAAGTGAAGCAAGTTTTGAAAAAGYAATTGATTGTTATWAATTAATGCTACTTTTCAGTGTTCCTGTCCTGTTCTCAWGCAAGGTCTTTTGGTTACACTAAAAGRYCCTATTACATCATTGATCCRAGCCGTTCCTTGGGGAAAACCATGCCATTCCGGGCTTATTGTAATATGASCAYTCATGCTGGTGTTACTATTATTGACCATAACAGTGGAAACCGCACCCTTGTTAATGGATTTAACAAGAAAGGGAGTTACAGACGAGACGTGGTGTATGATGGGATATCTAGCCTCGACCAACTACGAGCCTTGACYTRCATCTCGAAACACTGTGAGCAGTTTATCAAATACGAGTGCAACAACTCAATGATCTGTAAGCCTTAAATTGTATATTGAAATACTGATGGATGCAATTTTTAATAAGCSGTTTCGTTTTAGTTTTTCGCAACGGAGAACCTTATTCGTGGCTTGTCTCGCACGATGGACGTCAATTACTTTACTGGGGAGGCGCATCACGTGACAGCAAGAAATGCGCTTGTGGCATGACAAACAGCTGCGTTAAKAAAAAGGCGTGCAACTGCGATGCAAACGACAGAGTGTGGCGAGAGGATAGCGGCATGTTATCTTACAAAGAAGATCTTCCAATAATATCCCTCAGGTAACTACTTGAATTATTCAAAATGATTGAATTATGACAATAACATTGACTAAGATTAAGTGAAAAGAGGCCAACTTGAAAYTGCTAAAGAATTTTTGTAGTTGGGACTTAATATTATGAAGCCTGCGTAGAGGGTTCTAGGTGCGGGGGAAGTGGGAACGAAAGATGAGGGGGCTCGGAGGAGGAGGGGCAGTTTGATATTATACTTCGATGACTATGRACAAAAGAACGCACACGAGYTTCCGGGAAAACAATGGATAATCTTGATTTATTCTTTTATTTCCCCGSAGCCTCGTCTGCAATTCTTTTGTGCATGGTCACTGAACCAAAATATCTAAAGTCGACTAATAAAACCAATACGGACAACAGTGACATAAGTCAATAAAGTTTGGCCTTGATAACAAAAAATACAAAAAACAATAGATGCAGTGACAACAGTAATTATTTTACCTTGTTTTTTCTCATTGTAAGGTTTGGTGACACTGGTATGGCCGAAATGGGATATCACACGCTTGGCTCGCTGAAATGCTATGGAATGGCAGATCATTGACCATTTTCTATTTAATGTTTACATAACTTGTTTTCACCAAAGAACTGAAATTTTCTCAAAGTATACGAGCTATAAATGTTCATGAATAGATCTATTAAATTGATTTTCTCGCTTTCTTCATTCAGCAATGGAAAAAAGAAATGTAATTATTGTATTTATCATTTTTA